GTTTTCTTGGCTAAGATATTGGAGTGGTTTGCCATTTCCTTTTCCAGCTCATTTTTACAGATGGAGAACTGAGGCAAACAGGTTTAAGTGACTTGCCAAGGGTCACACAGCTAGTAAATGTCTGAGGCTAGATTTGAACTCAGGAAGATGAGTCTTCCTGACACAAGACCCAACACTGTATCTAACGTGCCAGCTAGTTGCCCCCTACTTGCTTCTCTACACACACTTTAATAGGGGTGCTAACATGGATAAATTATCAAAGGGGTGAGGGAAGTGGGCAGGAGAAAAAAAGAAACTAATCTACAAATTAAATGATTCTGTAGATAATTAGGTGCTGGCTGTGATATACAACTTTAACTTTTAAACTCAGTTACTATTGCGCTTACCCTTGACTGCGCCACTTTATGTATGTCTCTATCAGATATTGGATCCCCTAAGAGGCAGCTAGGTTGTACAGTGGACAGAGTGCAGGTCTGAAATTCAGGAAGACCTGAGTTCAAATGTTGCTTAAGATTCTTATAGACTTTGTAATCTTGGGCAAGTCTCTGAACCTTACTTTCTCAGTAAGTCTCAGCCTTACTTTCCTCATCTGTAAAATGAGGAGGTTGGACTCAATGGCCTCTAAGATCCTTTCTAATTCTAAAGGTATGATTTATGTTCCAAAGTTTTGGGTCCTCTAAATGGGAATTCACTGTTTTACTGCACTTTCCCCCACCAACTCATGTCATACCTGCTGATCATTAGAGTTCAGGGTAAAACCTTTGCTTTTGGGACCAAGACTAAGGAATTTGTATTTTATCCTAGAGGCAATAGAAACCATTAAACATTTTGGAACAGAGAAATAATGACATGATTAAGCCTATGTCTTACGAAGATTATTTTGGGAGATGAGTGAATGAGTAGATGACTGAATAAATGCAAAAGCATTTATTAAGTACTTACTATGTATCAGGCACTATGGTAAATACTAGGGATATAGATAGAAAATAATTTTGTAAGTACAAAAAGCAAGATTATCTCTGACCTCAAGGAACCTATATTCTAATAAGGAAGACTATACATATAGAAGACTGGTGACCGAGGAGGAGTGTTTTGGACTATGAAGTCACGGGTATGGTGACTAGAGCCATAGGGCAATTGATTGATATATCCTTTCCAGGAATGACAAAATTAACTTAATTACTATTCCCAGAGCTAGAAGTGGAAAAGGGTAAGGGGAATGATATGTGTGTGAGAGCAGTAGGAAGTAAGGTGGGTTGGGTCAGATTGGTTATGGTAAATTTCACCACTCAAGGTTGAAGGAAGGAGTAGAAGCAGGGATATTAATTAGGTTGGTATTAAAATAGTCCTGGCAAAAGGTGATGAGGGCTGGAATTCAAGTAGTGGTTGGGTGAATGAAAGGGAGAAGGAAATGAATAGGAGGAAATGCAATGGGGATAGACTCAATAATACTTAAAAATTGATTGGGTTTTGGGATGAAGGAAAGTTAAAAGTCAAAGACGACTCTAAGCCTACAAATCTGGGTGATTGTAAAGCTAGTATTATTCTTAACAAAAATATGACACTTTGGAGAAGTAGTGGTTTGGGGAGGTAATATGATAAATTCTCTTTGGATGAAGCTCATGGGCTTAAGGACTTAGAGCTAGAAGCGGTCTTAGAGGCCATTAAGACTAGTGCCTCATTTTATATCTGAAGAAACTGAGAATCAAGGGGATTAAGTGAGTTACCCATGGCCACACAAGTAATAAGTATCAAAAATGGGTTTTGACCCAAGGTCCTCTGATGCCAGAGCCAGTGTTCTTTCCACTGTATCATGCTGCTTCCCTTCTGAATGGACATGTTGAATTTACCAATAGAACATCCAGGTGGAAATATGTAGCAGGACTAGAATACAATAGAAAGATTATGTCTAGAGATATGTGTATGATATGTGTATGTGTGGGTTTGTGTGTGTGTGATGTGTGTGAGTGTGTGTGTGTGTAATTATCTATGTAGAGATTCAGTTCAATGCAACAAGCACTTAATAAGCATCTACTAATATGTGCCATACAAGGTAGTAGGTGCCAGAGATTCAGAACCCAAATGAAAGTCAGTTAGTCATGATAAATCTAT